GCACAATTCAAGAAAGTAAATAAGTCTTGACTTCTTTTAATTACCAAATACATTCGTAGCTGTAATTATGTTTTCATTGACTATGTGTTAAATAGACTATTTAAAGTTTATTACTTTGCTAATTAAACTTTAAATATTACAGAGGTCTACATAATAGAATTTCAAAAAAGAGGACTACCACATGTTCATATTCTATTATTTCTTGATCCTACGAGCAAGTTAAAAAATGTAGAGGATATTGATAACATTATTTCAGTGGAGATTCCTAACAAGGAAGCATCAAAACTAATATATGAATTAGTAAAAATGTACATGATGCATGGTCCATGTGGTAGAAGTAATCCTAATTCTCCTTGCATGAAAGAGAACAAATGCAGCAAATATTTCCCAAAGAAATACAATAAAACAACAGTCGTTGATAATGAAGGGTATCCTACTTATAGAAGAAGGGATGATGGACAAACTATTGAAAAAAATGGTGTGCCTGTAGATAATTGATTTGTTGTTCCTTATAATTTAAACCTGTTATATATGTTTCAAGCTCATATCAACATTAAGAAGACCAATCAATCAACATCTATCAAGTATTTGTTTAAATATATCAACAAAGGAAATGATAGAGTTATTGCTTCACTTTATAACAATAAAGGTGATGATGTTTCTTGTCAAATCATTGACAAGATCAAACAATACTTAGATTACAGGTTTGCCTAACCAAAATTAAGTTTTCATCATTATGCACATTTTTGCAAATTGTAATTCAAAATAAATATTTACATGTATATCTCTTCGTGTGAAGGAGCACGGCATCTCTTTAGTTTTGATATACATTATAGGTATCCCTCTATCGAAAGGTTAAGCTTCCATCTTCCTAATAAATAATGTGTTATCTACTCAAGAACAGATGATGTTTCATCATTACTAAACAAACAAAGGGTGAATGAATCTATGTTTCTCTCTTAGTTTGAGTGTAATCAAGCAAATGATGATGCAAAAAAACTCACTTGTAGTGAATTTCCTCATCATTTTGTATTTGACCGTGAGCTTAGGATATGGAGAGAAAGAAAAAAAGAATTTTTAGTTGGTTGCATTAGCCATGCATCACTAGCATCAAGAGAAACATACTATCTTCATGTCTTACTAACAAAAGTAAAGGGTCTTACTTCTTATAACGATATCAAAATAGTAAATGGTGTCATATACCCAACATTTAAAGCTGCATGTTATGCAATGGGGCTTCTTGATGATGACAAGGAATATGTAGATTCCATTAAGGAAGCATCTATTTGGGCTTCTAGAGAACAACTATGAAAGATGTTTGTTAGCATGCTGCTGTGTTGTTGTTTATCTCAACCTAAAATTATTTGGAATGAAACATCAAAAATTCTCTCTAAAGATATGTTATATTTACCTCGACAAGACCATACTATTTCAGGTAACTCTCAAATTTAATTTAATGATTTAATGACTTAATTATTATATCATAACTTTTCATGTTTCTTGAGCTTCATTATTTATATGTTTAACTAATTAATGATGTCATTATAGGTGTTTACATATCAGAACATGACAAATAACAAGATGTACTATGTGAGATTCAAAATCTTCTACAAATGAATGGAGAAAATCTTTCTGACTATCCATCCCTTCCAGTCCTAAATGGAACATTTGTCACAAATCACAACCATCTTATCTTACAAGAGTTGAATTTTGACTGCATTGCATTGTTTACAGAAGCTCAAAAAATGATTGATTCATTAAATATTGAGCAAAAAAGAATTTTTAAAAGTATTAATGAATCAACAGATCAGCCATTTGGAGGCTTCTTCTTTGTTTATGGACATGGTGGTATAAGTAAAAAATATTTATGGAATGCATTAACATCATGGCTTCGTGCTAAAGGAGAAATAGTTTTAACGGTTGCCTCAAATGGAATTACATCAACATTGCTACCATTTGGATGAACTGCACAATCCAGATTTGCAATACCTATTAATGTGAATGAAGATTCAATGTGCAACATAAGACACAAATCACCATTAGTAGAGCTACTTATTAAGACAAAATTGATCATTTGGGATGAGGCACCCATGATAAAAAGGAATTGTATTAAAGCTTTTGACCGTTCATTAAAGGATATAATGTGTTTTGATAAACCTTTTAGTGGCAAATGTGTGGTTATGGGTGGTGATTTTTGTCAAATCTTACCTGTTATTCCAAAAGCAACAAGAGCTGAGATTGTGAATGCTACTATTAATACTTCATATATATAGAATCATTGCAAAATTTTTCACCTTACAAAAAAACATGCATCTTTCTTCTTCTTCACTTGATACTAATAAAGCTAGGTTAGAGAAATTTTTAAAATGGCTTCTTGATGTTGGAGATAGTAATTTATCACTTCTAAATGATGGAACTATAGGGATTGAAATACCACCGAAATTATTGGTTGTAGATTATTTAAATCCACTTGAAGCCATTATTTCCTTAATGTATCTATGGTTATTTGAAAACCTTTCAAATAACTTTTATTTCAATGATAGAGCAATCTTAGCACCTATAGTTGAATGTGTTAAACAGGTCAATGAATTCATATGTACACTGCTTCTAAGTAAATCTATTGATTTCCATAGTTCAGACTCTGTCTGGAAGTCAACGTAAGACAATGATTCATTTGATGACTTATATACTACAAAGTTCTTAAATACTATTGAAAGTTTAGGAATTTCATCTCACAAGTTGACACTTAAAGTTGGAGCTCCGATCATGTTGATAAGGAATGTTGATCAAGCATCAGGATTGTGTAATGGCACCAAACTACATATCACCAATCTAGGCTAGAATGTTATTGAAGCCATAATATTGAATGGTTCTAATCCTAATCAGAAAGTGCTGATACACAAAATGGATATGAATCCTTCATAGAGTTGTTCCATTTCATATGCTAAGAAGACAATTTCCTATTATGTTGTCCTTTGCAATGACAATTAACAAAAGTCAAGGCCAATCTTTACAACATGTTAGATTGTATTTACCTAGGCCTGTGTTCACTCATGGGCAACTATATGTTGCTCTTTCTAGAGTAAAAAGGGTAGAAGGATTGAAAATATTAATTCATGATAGTAATAGGAGACCAAAGACTACCACAAACAATATGGTATACAAAGAAATATTTCAAAATATTCATTAGATATTTCTCAAAACTATTAGTGCTTTTTAAGCAATTAAACTATACTATAATACATTGTAATTTGTTCATGTTAATTGTTGTTGTTAAATTTTAGTAATAAACAGTATGTGTTATCCCGTGCAATGCACAGGAGTAAGAATCTAGTTACTCATAAAGTAAAAAAAAAATATAGATAAATGAGAAGAAAAAAGGTGACATAGAAATTCTAAAAATTTTACTTATCTCATTAAACGCTCAACTAATTTTTTCATATGCAAAAATTATTTTAGTAAGTTACAACAGCATTTGGGATCCACATTGAAAAAGTACCTTCATCTTTTTTTTTCCTTTCTGTTTTTTTTAACCCAAACAACATTTAGCTTTTAAAAAATGTCAAAGAACATTTCAAAAGCCAAACATGAGTTACCAAAACAAGTGTGTGTTTATTTTTTAGTTTGTCAAAAGCTTGTTGATTAAAAGTTTATTTAGTAAAAGTTAATTTGACAAAAATCAATTAGTAGAACAAAATTTATGTTTGAATAATTTTTTTTTCAAAAGTTAATTTATTAAACTAAAAGTTATTTGAATTATAATAATAATTGAGTAAAAATAAAAGAGTGAAAATTAGTTAATGACAAAATTATACAAAGCACTTTTAAAAAGTTGTCCAAAATTAAGCTCAAGGAATGAACTTTTAAAGCTTTTTGAACGTGATAGACTTTAAAAATAATTTAAGAAAATCAAATAACTTTTACATCCTTAAATTTTTAAAAGTTGTTTTTAAATGTAAAACAATAGGTAAACCACACGGGCCCTAAGTCTATTTGTGTCCCATCTTAAATTTCAGCAAGCAATTATTTGAATAATTTTATCTGTGATACAAGCATATTAAAAATGACATTACATGACTTAAAAAACTGAATTTAACTATAACAATAAATTAAATTACAATTGATTTTTGCTACTGCTCATATTCTTTAGAATTACAATTTGATTTGCTGGATGCTGAAGCAATATAATTATGAAAAAAATTATAGCTTTATATACTCACTATGTTTGTTAATTTCTAATTAAATCGAGATATCAAAATATGCAAATATTTTATTTGTTATTTATTTGAGTTAAAAGGCAAATTTCCTTGAAACTTTTGGGCCTTTGCAACGGTATCCTTAATTTTGATTGACGTAACACAATATTATCCTGAAAGTCCTTAAAGTGATAAATTTTGCTTTATTATAACATTGATTAATGTTGCCCATTAATTGAAAAATTTTGACTATAAGATCAAAGTATAACTTTGTCCTAAAAAATTTTCTAAAAGAACGATTAATGTTTTAAACTTTTGATTAACATAAGTTAGTCAAACATTATTATTTATATAAATTTAAAATTATTTTTTATCTTGATTTTAGAATTGATGTAGAAATAAATCACCGTTAACATATTGAGATAAAAATGATTGATTAATATAATATAATATAATATAAAGGGGAAAAACGCAGGTGATGATGGTATAAACGACTGTTTTTGGGTGCAAGTTAGGACTTAGGCGAGTCGATATAAAACTTGCAAATGAGATCTGACTTCTGACCATAGAATTTTCTCTTCACCAAAATCTTTTCAATATTAGTTAATTCTTTGTCGTCCTTATCGCCGCTTATCACGACGATAGTTTCAGAAGAATTCATCAAACAACTTCAATTTTCAAACCCATCGACGACACGCCTCCTATTAATTGACAACATTGTACTCCACCTTCTTGCATATATGCGGCGCCGTATATATATATATATATATATAAGATATATAAGACAATTTCAAACACCAACTTGAAGAATATATATCTATAATCCATTTTCCCATCTCGCTATGATCACCATGGCTCACCCCAGAAAGCTTCTATTTCTGATAACACCAACACTTGTCTTCATCCTCCAAATCAGTTTCTGTTCTTCCCAATCTGTTATCAAAGGAGGGTATTGGAATTCAGACAGTGGGCTCGCAGTTTCAGACATCGAAGCCTCCTATTACACACATCTCTTCTGTGCATTCGCAGATCTTGATTCCAAGACCAATGCAGTCACCATTTCTTCTTCCAAAGCTTCCCAATTCTCATCCTTCACCCAAACAGTTCAACAGAAGAACCCTTCTGTCAAAACCCTCTTGTCCATTGGTGGTGGACTCGCTGTGAGCTCAAGCTTCTCTCAAATGGCGAGCAGTGCCAGTTCTCGCAAATCATTCATTGACTCTTCCATCAAACTTGCCAGAGATAACAACTTCCATGGTCTCGACCTCGATTGGGAATACCCATCTTCAGACACAGACAAAACCAACTTTGGTTCTCTCATAACAGAGTGGCGATCGGCTATATCTTCTGAATCTCAATCCTCTGGAAACCCAGCGTTGCTGCTATCAGCTGCGGTGGCTGGATCAGACCAAATTTCACCATTGAACTTTTACCCACCTCATGAAATTGCGAACAACATGGATTGGATCAACGTGATGGCTTATGACCTGTTCATTCCAGATGGATACCCAGATAAGACACAGCCACCTGCTCCATTGAAGAACCCAGGTGGGATGTTTAGCGGAGACGAAGGGGTTTCCAAATGGATTCAATTGGGTGTGCCGGCGAACAAATTGGCTCTGGGTTTGCCGTTTTATGGGTACAAATGGAGCTTGACGAACCCTAACAATGGCGGGTTGTTCGCAGAAGCGACGAATCCTGGAGTGGGAGCTGTGAAGTACAAGGATATTGTAGCAGTGGGTGGAACGGTGAGCTATAATTCAACGTACGTGACGAATTATGCGCAGAAAGGATCGGATTGGTATGGTTATGATGATACTCAGAGCGTTTCTGCGAAAGTTGCTTATGCGAAGCAGAGAGGATTGCTTGGATATTTTTCTTGGAACGTTGAACAGGACTCTGATTGGATTCTCTCCAAAACTGGTTTGTCTTTCCCACTTTCGCGTCGAAGTTCAAACCATCGTCCACATTCCTTTTTTTATTTTTTTGGTAATTGAAAAAGTTAAGGATATTTTAAGTTAACCAACAAAAGTGAATTTTAATTTAGTTGATTGGTCTGCAGTAAAATTTTATAATTTTGTTATCGTAATTTATAAATTTATCACATCATTGGTCCTTTTTTTTTTTTAAGCTCACCCTTATTACTTAAGTTTGGCTCACGCGGGTAATTCTCTCGAAAATATTTTATCTGCGAATGTATCCATGTAATAAATGATAATAATAACTCACGATATTTATAAGCGATGAATAAAATGGACTTTAGTTTTTATATTTCAAGAAACAGTTATACTTTTGTATAAAGATATGAAAAATGTTTTTAATAAATTTGTCTCATTTTTTTAGAAAATTATTTTAATTGCTTAGTGAAATTATATAAACTCTATTGAAGTTATATCAATTCTATTGTGAGATGCTATTTCACTTCATTTTTTAGCATTTTTGGTAATAAACAAAGAAAATAGTTTTTTTATTTCACACTATTAGTTTTTATGCATTTTTATTAATTTTATTTTTCTTGAACTAAATTTTACACTGACTTTAATCCTTTGATTTTATTAATTTTTTAAGTTTGAAAATAATCTAATAAAAAATCCCCTTTGATATGCCGTTAATTTATTTTACAGAAGATGCTTACACAAATTTAAATTAATTTACTTATAATAATTTTAATCGCTTCCCTTCCAAAAATTTTAACCACTTCATCATAATAAACAAAAACAGTATTTTTATTTCAATTTTCACATAATTGGTTTTTTGAGAAATTTTTCTAGACAAATATTAGATAAAACAGTCAGGAGATGAGGATATTTAAAAAAAGGAAACATTAAAAATAAAAAATAAAAAATAAAAATATTGTATTCTATGTTCAAAGTTAAAAATAAGAAAATTTTAATTAAATAAATCATTAAATTGTAATTATAAATTATCACTATTAAATATTAACTCTAAAAAATCAAAACATATTTTGACCAGAATAACCAGAATACAAAAACTAGTTCAATATTTTAATTTGATTTTTCTTTGGAAAAAAATAAAGAATTCTATTTTGGTGCTAATGGATTTTTTTTTTTTTTTGATTGTGATGGCAGCTTCTCAAACTTGGGGGTGATGGACAAGTCCAACAGAGCAAAAGGAATATCGCCAAATATATATATATAAATAAAAATAAAATAAATTGTTTTCAAAGATCTTAAATTTGTAAAGTTTATGTCTTAAAGAATCATATGGCTCTTAAGTCTTTGTATGAATTCATAGTCTCTATATTTTGTACATTTTATGAATTTAAGATTTTCAATAAAAAGAATTATGTATATATTGTAATTGTAAATTATATACAAATGATAATGGAGTCAAGGTATATTATTCATTAGAGGTGCACAAAGACTCGGTAAGGTTAGATTAATGATCAACTCAATGCTCGATCCTTGTGTATTATGACCAAAATCGGGCCAACTCAATATAAAAAGACCAAGTTTTAATTTTGTATTAAACAAATAAGATAACAAATACATTTTATATATTAAATTATATCTATCTAAAATATTCCCTTGAAAAATAATATTTTGATTCAAAGTAATATTTTTAAATTTTTAAAAACTCAATAACAAACATTGTTTTTACATAACATTAAGTTAGGAAATCAAATTAAAATTTTAAGTAAAAATAATATATTAATTTCTTAATAGTTTTCACAATAACACCAAAGTGATTTATCAAGTATGATCTATAAAAGGAAAAAAAAATCATAAAACCAATTAATACTAACAAAAATTTGTAACAACATATAATATACACATACAATGAGCCCGGTAAGAATGGGTTTGGACTAAACTCATAATCCAGCCCAACCTAAACACCGAGACTAGCCTAGGAGACCAAGTAAGATTGAGCTTACTGGGTCACCCAGTTGGCAATTATCCTCAACTTCTTGAACTTTACAATCACTCTTATAATAAGAAATAATGAATCATATGACAATTTCTCTTATAATAAAAATAGGAGGGAGCATATAGTTTAAGAAATCCTGTAAATACTATGCTAAACAATTCCCAAAATTTTGTTAATACTCTTTTCAATTCTTACTATAAAACACCTATAATCACCACAACAGGATTAAGAAAAGATGATTAAGTTATTAATTTTATTTAAAGATAGAATTAACTCCTAATTTTGCTCCTATTTAAAGCTGAAGGCGCGATTAATGGATTATAATTCAAGTTTATATGTTGTAACAGTCATATAAACCATATTCTACTTGGAGTTGATTGAGATTATATTCCCCCTAATATTTTATAAATTTATTCTAGCCACTTCCTCTGACTTAGTTTAGAAAACATTTTTTTGATAAAATTATATTCATTAAATACATTTCTCAACTTTATTATTGTTTGAAAGCATAAATATAAATTTTTAAAAATATCATTCATTTAATATAATATTATTTGTAAAACATTAAATAGAGAGAAAAATATAATAAAGAGAGAATTGTAATATTGAAATAAATATAATTAATAAAATTTTTTTTATCAAAGTGTCTTATATTTTAATTCAATATTTTCATACCCAAATCGGCCCGAAATGTTGGATAGTCGCTCAAAGAAAAAAGAAGTTTGGTCCAACAATTTGACTCATTCTGATAATTGACTTGAGTTTGCCCACTATGACTCGAAAGAAAGCCCAGACTTGAAATTGCTGGACCATTTTAATATGTTTTTTTCATTTAAATGTTATTTTTTATTTAATTATTATGTTATTAATTCGATTCTTGATCTAATATGTTAAACTATAAAAATTGTGATTCATTGATTTTTGTGATTCATGATCCAATCTGGATTCTAAAACACTTTCACTAATATATCAAAACTAGACTAAATATTGAACCAAAAATGTTAGTGGTTCACGATTCGCATGGTTAAATTAGGTTAGATTAATAGTTGAATTGATAACGTAATAATTAAATAAAAATATATATATATATATATATATATAATAAAGAAAAAAAATCTATAGTTTGTTCATAAAATGGTGTAACATTAGTGAAAATTAATAATATTATAAATATAAATTATAATTTTATAACTTATTAAATATAGGTGGATTTTGGTTAAATTAAATAAGAGTAGAGTAAAAAAATATTTGTATCTACATCTATAATTATCAACATCTTTATAAAAAAATAGTTTTAAATCATATTTTATACATATGAAATGTTGAAAAATAAAGTTAGCTTTTAGTAGAATCTGATTTTTCTATTTTTAAAATATTTTAATCTTTTTTAATCTTATGTTTAAAACTATCTGATTTTTTGAAGACCGCTTCAATTTCTGGTTCAACTTTAGTTTTTGGCTCAACAATGATTTAAATTTGATTTAATCTAGCTCAAGTATAAAAATAATTTTTTGATCCGACGCAAGTCATTTATTGCTTTAGTTGATGATTCAACTAATTCTATCATTTAATTTGGTTTGATTTTTTAAATCATTCAGTATCGCATGAGATAACTTTTAAAAGTGTTACATGAACTTGATCAGTCCCTTCATCCTATGGCCAAAGCCGCCAGCCTCCACCAGCAATTAATTAATTATACACAAGTAATTTTTAAGTTAAATAAGAGTAGAGTAAAAAAATATTTGTATCTACATCTATAATTATCAACATCTTTATAAAAAAATAGTTTTAAATCATATTTTATACATATGAAATGTTGAAAAATAAAGTTAGCTTTTAGTAGAATCTGATTTTTCTATTTTTAAAATATTTTAATCTTTTTTAATCTTATGTTTAAAACTATCTGATTTTTTAAAGACCGCTTCAATTTCTGGTTCAACTTTAGTTTTTGGCTCAACAATGATTTAAATTTGGTTTAATCTAGCTCAAGTATAAAAATAATTTTTTGATCCGACGCAAGTCATTTATTGCTTTAGTTGATGATTCAACTAATTCTATCATTTGATTTGGTTTGATTTTTTAAATCATTCAGTATCGCATGAGATAACTTTTAAAAGTGTTACATGAACTTGATCAGTCCCTTCATCCTATGGCCAAAGCCGCCAGCCTCCACCAACAATTAATTAATTATACACAAGCAATTTTTAAGTGGGGGCCGGCCCGCTTGCCCCACAACAATTTATGTTTTTGTCTGCACATAAATAATCCGGCGCCAAACGCACTCATTATATTATTTATTTATTTAATTTGGTAAAAACACGCTGATTATATTAACGGGAAGCCGCCCCCAATGATGTTCTCTTATATTGTTTTTATTTTAAAAAATTATAGTAATGTTTGTTATTATATTACTCCATTATCCTAATTTATAAAAATATATTTAAATAAATATATATATATATTAATAAATTTTATTAAATACATTTTACAATATTAACTTTTCAAAATATAAATATAACTTTTTAAAAATAACTTTCATTTAGTATTCTATTTAAAAAAATATTAAAGAGAGATAATATATAAAAAAAGTAATATTAAAAAAATATTATTGATAAAATATTTTTTATAGATAATAAAATTTTATTTTTGTTATAGTGTTTTATATTTTAGAATATTAAATCTTACCCCAAAGTATTTTGTAAATTGTGATGGAGAGAATAATATATTAATTTAGTGATAAATATTTAAAATAATATTTTGAATAATTAGTACTCTGTCTCTTATTTTATAAGATATTTTTTGATAAAATTTTAATATTAAATTTCAAAACATTTTGGCCAAAGAATAATCTTCATCACTTAAATCTTATTTTTGTCAAAACATATTACTCTCTTATGTCTTTATTATAAATTTGTACCTACTCCAGATCATAATATAAATTATTTTTTAAAAATTTTGTTTGGTTTAAAATATAAGAGATTGAGTGGGTATTATATATATTTTTTAATTATACTCTTACTTTATTGAATAATTAATGATAGTATTTTAAATAAGTTAAATATTATACTCCATTTATTACACTCAAAGAAACAATTGAAAAGATATAGAAATTTTAAAAAAATTAAGATTCTAACTAACTTTTTTTATAAATAAAAATTAGTTAATAATGATTTATATTGTGATTTAGATGAAGTATACTTCATCAATGTCTTCTTTTTCTTTTTTTCCCTTCCCTCAAATTCCATTAATTGCTGTGGAAATGGTTTCATCAAACAACTTGAATCTTTCTTTTTTTTTTAATTAGAATGGTAAACACTAATAATGATATAATAAAATTATAAGATTGAACCCGCATTTTTCCACTTAAAAAAAAAAAAAAGAGCTTACATGTGACATTTTACAAGGTGATTGCCAAATTTTGTTAATTTCAAACTCATGTGACATATACCTACCATTATTAATAACCAAAATCCACACCTTGCAGTAAAGTTATACAAGAGCCATCAAAGTCCTATCTGAAGATCATCCATTCATCTTCCATTCTTCTTGTTGCTCACCGATCACCACCATGGCTCACCTTAGAAAGCTTCCATTTCTGATGCCTTCTCTTTTGTCTGTCCTCCAACTTTTCTTCTCTCCCCAATCTGTCATCAAAGGAGGTTACTGGAATTCAGAGGCGGACTCGCAGCTTCTGACATCGAAGCCTCCTATTACACACATCTCTTCTGTGCATTCGCAGATCTTGATCCCAACACTAACACTGTCACCATTTCTTCTTCCAAAGCTTCCCAATTCTCTTCCTTCACCCAAACAGTCCAACGCAAGAACCCTTCTGTTAAAACCCTCTTGTCCATTGGTGGTGGACTCGCTGTGAGTTCAAGCTTCTCTAAAATGGCAACAAGTCGAAGAACTCGCAAATCATTCATCGACTCTTCCATCAGACTTGCCAGAGAAAACAACTTTCATGGACTTGACCTTGACTGGGAATACCCATCTTCAAACACAGACAGAACCAATTATGGTTCTCTCATCAACGAGTGGCGGTCTGCTATAGTTGCAGAATCTAGATCCTCTGGAAAACCAGCGTTGCTGTTATCAGCTGCAGTGGCTGGATCCGACCAGATTTCACCATTGAACTAGGAGTTTCACAAATATTGTGGGGTTTATAAGTGTGAGGGACTCTCCCACCCAACATGCTAGTCTTTTGCAATGGGTTCTCCCTTTAAGCTCGTGCTCGTCACAGTGGTGCTTTCATTAAGAGCTCAGTGTCACGGAAAGGGCTATCCATGGAGGGTTCTGACCGGCCGAAGGTCGAGTGAAGTGCCGTGGAGTAAAGCCACCGGGGACGTCGGCTCCTAACGGGGTGGCATTGTCACGAATCCCACATCCAGGAGCCTCACAAATATTGTGGGGTTTATAAGTGTG